AAGACGGAGCGTCTCCTCCTGTGTGATGTGTAGCCTCTGAAAGCCCGCTGGTGGTCAGCTACGGGGCAGTTCCAACTTGACAGCAATGCGGGTTTTGCCGCTCAAAGGTCAGAGTCACTATGCGGAGAAGATGGTTACAAGGTCTACGTGTAACCAAAAACTTTGGTGGCTCAAATCTACTCAGAGGTGGTTCTCAAGAAAAGACCTGGGGAACAGCTTCACAAAGTTTCCAGTGGATTGAAAACCTGGTGCTTGTTCTACTCTGACAACACGTCAGATTGTAGCTGACTCAAGGCAAATAACAACAGCTCAAGGACGAACATTCCAGGCTTCCCTTTCGAGCAGTTACAGCTCAAAATCATGCTGTGTTCTCATCCACTTTACTCTCACACTTTGTTTCACCTCTTAGGTGTTTTTCCCCCCAGAGTGCTCCTTTACATACCCCCGTGAGCAGTGGCTGGGAGCCTGTCCTACAACCTCTGCCCTGCTCAAGCCTATTGTGTCAGTCACCGTGTCATCATCTCCTCCAGGGACTTCTTCTCTCCCTGACCTTCCACCTTTTCCAGGATGATGTCCTTTTCCAAGGCGCAGCCCCCTCCTGACGACATGCCCAAAGTATGTGAGGAGTGTCATCCCGTGTCTCTAAGGCACTTCCTCCAAGATGCATTTGTTCTCCTGCAAGTCCACTGGATATTCAATATTTTTCACCAATACCACAATTCAAACGCATCAGTTCCTTGGTGTACCTTATTTATTGTCCAGCTTTCAGATGCATAGAAGGTAAGTGACAATATTATGGCTTCTGTCAGGCACATGTTGGTCCTTATACTGACATCCCTGCTTTTCAACAATTTAAGGAGTTCTTTACATCGGATTTTCCCAATGCAAAAATATCTCTTTTGACTTCTTGACTGCTGCTACCAAGGATGTTGATTGTGGATCCAAGTAAAATGAGATTGTTGACAACTTCACTGTTTTCTATCACAAAGCTGACTGTTGGTCAGGTGGGAAGATTTCTTTTTTTCCCTTTTGTGAATTTGTTTCTATTGTTTACTGTTTGCTTTCCATAAATAATGATTTTTGTTTTGTTAATACTGTGATGGGTGTTGTGCAGTTTTTTAAATTTTATACTAGTTTGAATTTGTTTTTATTGTTTATTGCTTGCTTTCTATAAATAATGATTTTAGTTTTGTTAGTACTGTGGGGGGGTGTTGTGTTGTGTTTTTTTTTCTTTTATACTAGCTTACGTACAAAGTTCATAAAGTTCATATACATTGTTTTTCACACCTTTACCCTTTCTCTTTTTTTCTTTACCCTTTCCTTTCTCTCCCTCCACCCATTAAACTGTGTGACCCTATAATTAAGCCCCCTTCACCTCCTTGGATTTTTGTTTTCTTGTTGAAATATAACCCACATTGAAGGTTGTAGTCTTTGATTTTCTTTGGTAAGTGTTTCAAGTTTCCATCTGTTTCTGCAAGCAAGATTGTATCACATGTGAAATGCAGGTTGTTGGTGTCTTCCTCCAATCCTGACACCACCCTTTCCTTCCTCAGATGTGGTCATTCTGATCCTGTATGGTCAGCTCATCGGTGAGGTCCATGTGCACAGTCACCATTTGTCTTTTTAAAAAAGCACATTTTCAATGGATGAAATCATTGTGCAAAATCTGTATCACTTCCATCCTCATTTCCATCACCAAAGCCATGCTTTCTGACCACCATTTTTTCTCCGTTTCCAACTTTTGCTTTTCAGTCCCCAATTATTAATGGATTTTGATGGCATGTCTGAGCCATTTTTTACTGCAAAAGTTGTTATAAATCCTCCATTTCTTTATTTTTGGCATTTTTTTTGGTTGGTTTTTTAAATTTTATTAATTTTAATGAACATTTACAGATATTTTAGATTTCCATTCATTCATTGTTGCACTATTTTCTCTACCCCTGCCAGTTCATTCCTCTCTTTTTTTTCCTTGAAAGTCTGTTTTAATTGTCCCATTACCACAGTGCTTGTCAAAGCCAGTTCTGATTAATCTCCTTTGTCTGTGTGTCCTTTGCCATTCCCTATCACTCCTCCCTGAGAGAGACTTCACCCTGATTCATAAGGAGGTGCATGCATATAGTTTTTTTTTAAAGTTGTCTTTACAGGTAGGTCTTCCTTGTATGTATTGGATAATATCCTGTTATTATGCATTGTGTTTCAGGAGAGATCTCAAAAGGTTCTGCTTGTGCACACCCATGTTTATTGTGGCTTTGTTCACAATAGCAAGGAGCTGGAAAAAACCCCAAGTACCCATCAACAAACTAACGGATAGAGAAGCTCTGGTATATTCACATAATGGAATACTAAGGAACTCTTGAAATATTCTGCAAAATGGATGACCCTGGAGGACATTATGCTGAGTGAAATATCTCATTCACAAAAGGACAAATATTGCATAGGGCCACTGTTGTAAAATGGGACTGACATTGGAGTTGAGGGAAGACAGAGAAGGAGGGGCTGAATGATGTATATTGCATTGAAACAGATGAAGGAGAGAGCTGTTTAAAAGGGATACATGATTGGGTATTATTGTCATGACAGGAGTCCAGAATGAAGGCTGCACAGTGGAATAGACTTGGAGGGAGGGATTGCTTAACAATCTTTTGCTTTTCAAGGAGAAGAGTGGATTGGAGGAGCAGGGGATGGTCAGGAAGAAATGTGCAACAATGAATGACTGGAAACCCTAAGTCTGTAAACTTTCCTTAAAATTAATTTTTTAAAAATGTTCTGTTTGGAGATGAATGTGACACCTTTCTTCAATTTGTCATTCCTGCCAAATAGATCATATGATTGTCTGATTCAAAATGGCTCATTCCAGTCCATCTCGACTCACTAGTGTACGGGGGATTGTTACACATTCAATTTCATCTTGGACCACTTCCGTTCTTCTAGCTCCACACATCCCACACTCCTCCTTCTAATTGCTAACAGATGCTCGCAACCATTTATCCTCACGTGAGTCTTGCCATGTCAGCAGATGAAGGCAAAAGCTTTACTCCGTCCACACCAGTACAGTGGACTCTACTTTGAGGGGCAGCTGTACCTCCGTCGTATTTTGAGTGTCTTCCAGCCCAAGGACCTCATCCTCTGACTCTGTACTCAACTCTTTCATTACCCATAGGGTTTCGAGGGTCTGTTATTTAAGTAGTGATCTGTCGGTCTTAAAACTTGTCCACTCTGGGAGTCCAGAGTGAAGGCTACATAGTGAAGTGGACCTGGGGGGAGGGATTGTAAAACAATGAAAGAATTTTTCTTTTACTTTTCCAAGAGGGTAGTCTACTGGGGCGGGGGGGAGGGGGAGAGCGGAGAAAAGTGTAACAATGAATGAGTGGGGAAAAACCCCCATCCCAGATAAGAAATTTTTTTTTCAAGCCAAATGCTCCCCACCTCCCGTGGTGCAGTATTTTTTCAGAAACTGCTTATTATAATCGGTCAGCTCTGAACTGCAGGCAGCCCAACTATCTTTGAGATTCAATGAGGAGAAATATTTCTTTTGGGGGGGCAAAATTGTAATTTCCCACATTAGGTAATTTAAAAGGTTAATCAGTTTCATGCCAGTAAAAATTATAGATGAATATTTCAACCACAGGTCCCCTGCTACCCTCTCTCTTTTAACTCCTTCCCAAACACTGCTGCCCCATTCCTCTGGTTTCCCTTTTACAGACCAGTAGCATCAAAAGACGTTCTACTGTTTTGCAATTAAAATCATAGTTGTTCTCAAATTAAAAAATAAAACACAACAAACTTGTCCACTGAAGCCTGTCCACTGTGAGTGACCTTGCTGATATGTACAATACCAGTGGCATAGCTTCTAACATCACAGCAACACACAAGCTACTACAGTACAGCAAATTGGCAGGTGAATATGGCAGAGATATGTCAAGAAATCGAAAGATTAATTGCATTAGGAACATCTGCTGTCAAAGAGCCAGAGTGCAGAAGAGCAACGATATCAGTATAGAGACTAAGGTGCACCCGATCCAGGCCATGGTCTTCACAGTTACTTGCTATGTATCAGAGAGATGAACAGTGACAAAGAATGACAGAAGAAGAATGAATGCCTTTGAGTTGTGGTGCTGGAGAAGAGTATTAAACATTCCTTGAACTGCCAAGAGAATACACAGGTCTGTCCTGGAGAGGATAGGACCAGGTTGCTCCTTGGAGGCAAGGATTTTGAAGCTCTGTCTGACATACTTCGGGCATGTCACCAGGAGGGTCCAATCCTTTGAGAATGACATGATGCTTGGAAGGGCAGAGGGTCAGTGTAGGAGAGGAAGACCCCGTTGAGATGGAGTGACACTATTACTATGGCGAGGGATTCAGGTGTGTCAGAGACGGTGAGATTGGCACAAGATAGGGCAGGGTTCAGAGCTAGTATTTGTAGGGCCACTATGAGTAGTAAGCAACTCAGTGGCACATAACAACATATATAGATACTTGGATCCACAATCAATACCCTTGGTACCAGCAGTCAGGAAAGCAAATAATGTCTGCAGTCAAGACCTGTCCAAATTATTGAAGAGCAATGATATCAGCTTGAAGACTAAGGTGCACCTGATTTAGGCCACGGTCATTTCAATAATGTGCTATGCTGCTGAGAGCTGGACAATGAAATAAGGATGTCTTTGAGTTCTGGTGTTGGAGAAGAGGACTGAATATGCCATGGGCTGAAAAAAAAAACCCCAAAAAACCCCCAAAACCAAGCAGATATGTCTAGGGGAAAGTGACACCAGAGTGCTCCTCAGAGTCACAGATGGCAAAGCTTCACCTCGCCTACTTTGGGCATGTTGCTAGGAGAGATTATTTCTTGGAGAGACACATCATACTTAGAAAGGTGGAGGGCTCTCTGAGGAAGACGCGGTCGCTCCTGCAGACGTGCGGTATTCTCCTGCCCTTGCTCCTGACTCACCGCTGTTCGCTCTCTCCGGGGAACAAGTCGGTCAGGAAGCCGCGCTGCAGCCATGGCTTTTAAGGACACCGGAAAGACGCCTGTGGAACCGGAGGTGGCCATTCACCGGATTAGAATTACCCTAACCAGCTGCAATGTCAAATCCCTGGAGAAGGTGTGTACCGATTTGATCAGAGGCACAAAGGAGAAGAACCTGAAGGTGAAGGGACTGGTCAGGATGCCTCCCAAGACTCTGAGAATCACTACAAGGAAGACTCCTTGTGGGGAAGATTCCAAGACCTGGGATCGTTTTCAGGTGAGGATCCACCAGCCACTCACTGACTTGCGTAGGCCTTTTGAGATTGTCAAGCAGCTCACCTCCATCAGCATTGAGCCTGGAGTAGAGGGTGAAGTAACCATTGCAGATGCCTAAATCAACTATTTTAATAAATTGGCTATCCATTGGTTAAAAAAAAAAAGAAAAGTGTGATCGCGTCTTCAATGTCTTCTGCTTGTATGGCAATGTGGAGAAGGTGAAATTCATGAAAAGCAAGCCAGGGGCTGCCATGGTAGAAATGGCTGATGGCTATGCCGTCGACCGGACCATCACCCACCTCAACAACAACTTCATGTTTGGGCAGAAGCTGAATGTCTGTGTCTCCAAGCAACCAGCCATCATGCCTGGTCAGTCATACGGGCTAGAAGACGGGTCTTGCAGTTACAAAGACTTTAATGGCTTAAGAAACAATCGATTTTCCACCCCGGAGCAGGCAGCCAAGAACCGCATCCAGCACCCAAGCAATGTGCTGCATTTCTTCAATGCTCCCCTGGAGGTGACCGAGGAGAACTTCTTTGAGATCTGTGACGAGCTAGGAGTGAAGCGGCCATCTTCTGTGAAAGTGTTCTCAGGCAAGAGTGAACGCAGCTCCTCTGGGCTGCTGGAGTGGGAATCCGAGAGTGATGCCCTGGAGACACTGGGCTTCCTGAACCATTACCAGATGAAAAACCCAAACGGGCCATACCCATACACCCTGAAGTTGTGTTTCTCCACTGCTCAGCATGCCGCCTAATTAGGTGTCCAAGAAGATTCCCATCAGAGCAGGAAAAACAATTTTCGTTTTTTGCTGTTTCTTGTTTTTAGATTGCTTTCTCTTTTGTTTGGTGGGTTTGGCTCTTTTTTTGGTGTTTTTATTTCCCCCCAGAAGTTCTTGTATTTCTTTTTTTAATACTAGGTTAGTAGAGGCTTAACCATAACAGAAATGCCGGCAGTCTTGAGGGGGTGGGGGAGGGGAACTGATATCTCCCAAGATTAACCTTCACTTAAAAAAAATTATTGTACATGTGATTTTTTTTTCCTTTTTCTTCCTCCTTCTTCATACATTTGTGCTATTCATGTACTCTTGGCACATTTCAATAAAATTGTTTGGAAAATTAAAAAAGAAAAAAGAAAAGTGGAGGGATGGTGAAAGATAGGAAGACCCTCAACTAGAGGGATTGACACAGTGACTGCAGCATGGGACTCGAGTGTGTCAGAAATGGTGAATTTGGCACAAGAGAGGACAGGGTTGGTATGGGTCATCCTCAACCCTGTGACACACACCAACAGTATAAAATATTCGGGTATATGCTCACTGCCATCGTGTCAGAATGGACTCGTAGCTGATCCTCCACTGGGTTTCTGAGGCTGTAAATTTCATGGGAAGAGATTGTCCACACACACATGCACACACACACACACACACACACACACACACATCCTAATTGTGTAGCAAGTAACATGTCAAGCTGCTGGCTGCCAGTTTGGCAAAAGGCCAGTGAAACAGGAGCTGCCTCTGCTAGATGGACTGACATCGTTGCTGGCGCCGCAGACTCAAGCAGACCAGAGAGGGTGAGGCTGCATGGGCGCCAGGCAGGGCCTACCCTGTCCTGTGGGGTCGCTGCAAGTAGGAGTCAGTGCGAAGGCACCAGCCACTGGACAACTCCTGGTTCTTCCTTGGAGCCTAGTGACTCCTCTTCCAATTTGGACCAACAACTTTCTTTTTCTCTATCGGTTTATTTACAAAACTCGAATACAAATTCTAACACATTCTTTCAATTTCCCTCACCCCCGCCCCCATCAAATTGTACAACCCGGTGATTAATCTCCCCCTCCCCCTGCACATCCACATCCCTCTACTTCCAGCCTCTCCCATCCCGCCTGGATCCTTATCCTCGTTCTACAGTAACGGTTTTATACAATATTTATCCTTGTGGGACTGAGTTAGTTCACTCAGTATAATGCTCTCCAGTCCCTCTCAAGTTAGGTCATAATTTATAAAAGTTATTGCTCCTGCGTGCTGCATAGTATTCCATTGTGTGAATGTACCAATACTTTCTTGTCTAATATGTTGTTGTTTTAAACTAGCATGAAATGAACTACATCAAGTGAAAAACTGCTTCTGATGCTGCATGAGAGACAGACAGACAGACAGAGAATGTGTTGGGTGATCTCAGCTCTCTGGGTCTAGCAAACCTGAGGAGTGGTTACATGACCCTGTTCACTCCAGGGTCACCCATCTAGCTGTCTTATTTCTGTTTTGGTACCCTTTGTGTTAAAATAGAAAATTTTTAAAAACGTTTTACTTTGGTTTGGTTAAAAGCTTTTAAGGCAGATTTGTTTCCCATTCAATAGTTTATACATATTTGTTCATAACAGTTAGCTTTCAATCCCCCCAATGTCACAGCTCCCTTTCCTCTTCATCCCTGGACTCTGTTTCCATTCATCTTTTCTCTTTTTAAAATTTTTCCAAAATTATTGTTGTTATTCTTGTTATATGCTGTCAAGTCACCTGCGACTCATAGCGACCCTATGTACAACAGCTCTGAACCCTGCTCTATCCTGAACCAAACTCATTGCCTCTGACACGCTCACCCCCATGACCCCAGTCACTAAATCAATCCATCTCATGGAGGGTCTTCCTGTCCTGTGCTGTCCCTCCACCCTCCCAAGCATAACGTCCCTCTCCAAGGACCTGTCCCACATCACAACATGCTCAAAGGATGTCAGACAAAGCTTCAGAATCCTTGCCTCCAAAGAGCAGCCTGGTTTCACCCTCTCCAGCATGAAATTATTATGCAACAACTTCTTAAATGTTTTAATAGAGTAGTTCTCAGTAAGGGGACAGTTTTGCTGGCCAGCCGAGAACTGACAATATCTGGGCACTTAGTTGTCTAGCTGGAGGGAAGAGAGTGGGGGTGATTAGGGGAGCTTGTCTTATTGACCCCATGCTTCTGTGGTGCTGGAGAAGAGCACAGACCACCCCATGGACTGCAGAAGAACAGACAGGCGTGTCCTGGAGGAGGTGTGACTAGGCTGCTCCTCAGAGGCAAGGATGGTGAAACTTCCCCTCACAAACCTTGGGCATGTGGTCAGGAGGGCCAGTCCTTGGAAAAGACATCATGTGGGAAAGGTGGGGGGTCAGAGCAAGAGAAGAGGACCCTCAACGAGGTGGACTGACACAGTGACAGAAACAATGCTCTGGAGGATACCCGAGATAGTGAGGCTGGCACAGGACGGGGCCAGGTTCAGAGGTGTCGCTCACAGGGTCACGAGTGACTCGATGGCACCTAACAACAACAGTGGTAACAGAAACACCACACGTGAGCGGCTTTAACCAGAAGGACGTGGAGACTCAGTGGAAGGTCACAATGAGAGGAGTTTCTACCCAGATAAGGACCTAATTAACATAGCAAAATACCCTATTTCCAAACAGGATCTTATCCACAGGGATAACCACAGGTCACAGTGACCCTGTATCCCATTTCTGAGCCTATAAATCATAATGGAAAGAGAAGTCAGCAGCTGCTGGTGGCTTTGAACTGCCGGAGACACATAACCTGTGGGCTTCACTTAGAATCACCCCCTTTTAGCCTCGAGCAGACAGGTCTCCCTCTGACCTGTGGCCTCTGTCCTGCTCGGACAAGTGGTCCGAAGCCTGCTCAGCTCCGCACAGTCGAACATACAGAAGCTCGAGTACTCTGCCGGAGAGCCTGCTGCCCAAAGGCCTTCGGTCTTTGCCTGAGGGTTTGCAAACCCAGCTCCATGCACGAGCCCCCAGAGGCACCTTGACGGCAAGCTCCCTGCCTGCAGGCGCACAGCCTCTCGCTCTGTGGCCGGGAAGCCACTGCTCTGTCTCCAGCCTGTTTTCTGGTTCTGTGGCTTCCGGGAACACCCTTCTTCCTCTGCCTTTTGCAGTCTCTCCAGTGTTACAGCTCTCTGTCACCTGGGTCTGACATGTTATGTGCCGTCAAGTCGCCTGGGACTCATATCGACCCTACGTACAACTGCCTTAAACCCTGCTCTATCCCTTGCCAATCTTATTGTCTCCAACACACCCACCCCCATTATCCAAGTGACAGAACCAATCCATCTCATCAATAAGTGGTTGCTGTTGTTAAGTGCTGTTGAGTTGTAGGCAACTCATAGTGACCGTATGAACGAAAGTTCTGGACACCTAACTTTCATCCTCTCTCCAGGTTCACAGGGTTTCCAGAAGCAAGCTATTTCGGAAGGGGATGCCACTCCTGCTCCCAAGCTTGTTTTAATCGGGGAGCTCCACCAAACACTGTCCACCATGGGTAACCATTAGCACATTTGACTCTTCAGTGTCACAGTGTTTGGCTTCACAGCAACCAAGAGTTACCTCTGTACAGCAAGTGAACAGACCAGTGTTACAAGACCTAGAAGAATGTTTCACCAAAAACAATTAAAGGCAGGCCTGAAGGCCGCAGAGGAGAGTCACCCACCTTTGGCTTGGGAGCATGGCTTTCTGTCCACTAGGCCAACTGCTCTCTCTCTCTCTCTATGCTGCTGCTGTTGTTGTTGTTAAGTGCCGTCGAGTCATAGGCAACTCATAGCCACCCCTGTCAAAGGTTGTATTTGTAAAAGTGGTGTAACAGACATAGTCACAATACCAGTGAAAGAGCAGCTACTGAGGCTGTTTATGGGCAGGCATTTGTGTGTGTGTGTGGGGGGGGGGATTAGAGTCCATAGTAAGGGTTCCAATTTTATGAGACATCCCAGTTAATTGGCCTAATACTTATGTGTTGAGTGCTCCTTCCTGAGCTGCTGCTTGATTGTACAGTGTCCGGGATCTTCTGACAGCTGGTCTGTATTTGCTGGAAGCAAAGGAACAGAAGAAGAATCAGGAACAGGGTTAGAGGCAGGAAATGGAACGTGTGGTCAATCACGTCCACCAACAGTTGTCTCCTTTGTCGTGAGACAAAAGAACTGAAGGTGCCCGGCTATCATGACTGGATGCTTTGATCGAAGAAGCTATACAAGAATACTGATTACAAAGGGAGCTCTGGTGGCCTAGTGGCAAGAAGCTGCACTGCAATCGCAGAGTTATGGGGTTTGAATCCACCAGATGCTCGGCTGAAGAAGGAGGAACAATCTCCTCCTGTACCAGTCAGATCCGATTTGACAGTTGTTGTTGTTGTTAAATGCCGTCAAGTCATAGGTGACTCATAGTGACCCTATGAACGAAAATCCTCAATACTTGTGTGACTTTCATCCTCTCCAGGTTCACAGAGTTTCCGGAAGCAAGCTATTACGGAAGTGGATGCCACTCCTGCTTCCAAGCTTGTTTTAATCGAGGAGCTTCACCTGATACTGTCCACCATGGGTAACCATTACTGTATTTGACACATCAGTGTCACAATGTTCAGCTTCACAGCAACTACAAGTTACCGCTGTACAGCATGTGGACACACCAGGGCTATATGACTTACAAGAATGTTTGAACAAACACAATGAAAGACAGGCCTGCGGGCAGCGGATTAAAAGTCACCCACCTTTGGCTTGGTAGCATCACTTTCTGTCCACTAGGCCAACTGATCGCTTGGTATTTGATGAAAGAAAGAGAGACAGAGAGGGGGGGAGAGAGAAAGAAAGAAAGAGAGAGAAAGAGAGACAGAGAGAGAGAGAGAGAGAGAGAGAGAGAGAGAGAGAGAGAGAGAGAAAATAAAGAAGAATTATAAAAGAATATTGATTACAAAGGGGATGATGTGGAGCAGAGTTTACATTTTT